GGAGCACACGCAAAATTTGCGGTATCAACTCTGATAGGTAATTGCGAAATTCACAGCCCAAAGCCAAGGCGATTTGCTCAATCAAGTTTATCAGTGTCAACTGCAGCGTCGTATAGACCGTCCAGAACTCTTTAATTAGCTTAAAAATGTCACTCATATAGCTGATAATGTGCTGCTTAACAATCTGCACCAATATAGCCAATTGCTGGAAGAGGAATTCACGCAAATTGATATCGGCCGTACGTACATTCTCCAGTAAACTGGGCAGCACTTGTGCCAAATAGGGCACACACTTAATACCGAGACTCTTGAATATGAAAGTAATGGCCTGTACGACGCTGGTGTGACGACTGCTGAGTGTGGGATCGCGCAAAATGCGCATCAGCGCGGCAATCGCAACGGCTGGATAGTATTCGTCGAGTACATTACTCATGTTCACAAGTAATTCGGCTGTGGAAATATCTTGATTCTCATCCATTTTGAAATCACTCAACGAAATGAGCACACTATCCTTTTGACTATCTATTAGACCTTTATTCATTTTATGCTTATACGGATCCATTGCACCTAATAAACCGAGTACGCGTATGGTTTCTCGACGTATGGAGCGGCGTTGTTCGGTTTTCAAAAAATTTATAAGTATGTCAATCAGACCGGGATACTTGTGATATGGTGTGACTACACGACCAGTGGCGCTTATCAGTTGGCCGAGTGTCCACAATGCCACGCCACGTTTCTCCGGACTACCAGCGTCGCCCAGCATTTCTAGAAGAATTGACAACAAATCGTCGGCCCACATTTCCATTTCATTGGAACCGCCATTCACTTCGGCTAAGTCGCCGATTGCGCGCAAGACATTCAATATAACGCCTGGGTTGGGATCGGCTTCACGTAACTTCGGCACAAGTATGGTGAGTATGGGATGCATGTAAGATGAAATCAATCTGTGAAATATGAGAAGCCATTAGTTATTACAGATTGCTTTTATTATAAACAATGTTTTTATATACGAGATCTGTTCAAAAACCAACGGGAATTTCGTTTTTTTGTAATAAAAATGTTCATTCGCAAAAAGTCACAGGGTCCATTTTTGTTGAAAATGGAGGCCTCAATTTTAAAAGTCCCGTTATTTTCTGAACACACCGCGTAAGTCTAGCTAGTTTTCGTCTTTACGCACTAACCTAGGTGTACTGATTATCAAGTGATCCAACATCCTGGCGCTCTGTTCCTTATTTCGACTCATACCAGAGTGCTCCAATTCGGTCAAAAGTTGTATCATAATTTTACGCAATTTAGGCATAACATAGGCTGGATTCATGGCAGACAGCCGACCGACAGTCACCATAGCCAGTTCACGTATTTCGAAAATCTCATCATTTAATGTTATAAATAGTGCACTAAGCGATTCGGGTTGCGCCAACTCAGCATCGAAGGTTTCATCCAACGAACGCAGTATACGTATGCGCACATTGCAATCCATATCAGTGATGGCGACAATTAGCAGTCTTTCGATGACATGCGACACTGTCTCGCTAAGTGTATTTGAACTTTCTGTACTGTCAGCTGACTGTACGGCGAGTTTTAATAGACGTGTACACGTCTGAACAGCCTCTAAACGTATCTCCTGCTGATCATGATTAATGAAATGATCGGCGCAACGTTGTACAAAATCCAACATGTTTTGTTCTTCGAAATTGAAACTGCCAAGCGTTTTGAGTGCCAGCACCACAGTTGGTACATCGTGTTGCAGATTAATTGATGGATCTAATGGTATGGTGGCAAGTGTTTGATAGGGTATGGCCAGTGGTTTATTCATAAGTACTTGCGAGAGCACACGTATGAGCCCTTCAGCAATGGCCGACTTTAAATGTGGTACATTTTCGGCGAGTTCACGTAAACAAACGGTTAAAGCAGGTGAGAGACCACTGAAAAACATCTGCTCCAGTATATTACGCACATCCTCTGTTATGCCGGATTTGACGGCGTGTGCGAGCAATGTTATGCAGTGGAAAATTGCTGGATCAATGGCCGCCTTACGTTTGCTTGGTGTAATTTTTGGTGGTAAAGCTATTTTGATGGCGCACATAATTGTTCGTAAATGCTTGTCAATGTCGCGCTCAACGGCTACGGCTATGTAACCAATAGTTACGTAAGCAATGTTGCGATCCTTTTCCTTACGTGGAACTATGCTGAGTAAGTGACTAACGCATTCCTGCAAATAACGCTGTACGAAGATTTCGCGATTGAAAGCCGCGAGGCGTGGTAGTATATGTAAGAGCGCTTGCTGCACATAGGGTGACTTCGAAGTGCGCTGTTCCAGCACATTATCGCAAATGTTTATATAATTTTCTGTGAGTATCTCACGTGAATACGCAGACTCCAGCACGGTAGCCTAAAATGTGTTAGATATTGCATAAAATCATTGATTTTTCTACCAAACATCCATAAATGCTTACCGACGAAAATTTATGTGTACCGCCGTGTTGCGCATCGTGATCCAAATGCATGTGTGTGGAACCTAGCTTACTTATAAAAGGTGCTTTCAAGCGAGGCACTAAGGTGGTTAGTTGACTGCCAACTGAGCCGGAGTGTATAACTTCGCCAAATTTATTATGTTGTGCATCGGGCAGAAGCGACTTCAACGTTGCATAACGACGCTCCCAAGCGGCATGTGAACAACGGAAAAGTTCATTCAAAATTATCAGGCCACCATGAATGCAGTCATCACGTGTCATGCCTTTTTGATCTTTCGTGCCAGTTGGTTCGGCTACAAAACTAGCGCTCGCCTCTTGGTAACAAGTTTTATACCATTGTGGCTCAGTTGATTGTTTGGTACTTTCACGTTGTGAAGTTACAATAAGTGCGGCACGTAAAGCTTCGCCAGCCGATTCACGAATAGCTGCTTTCGGATCGAATATTGCGTTAAAAATATTATCAAAAAATGTGGAAATTTGTTGATAAAAATATGTTGGCATGGCTATAGCGAGCTCACGTAGTATAAAAACTGCAGCATGACGGCGATACTGAAATTGAATAATACTTATTACTATAGAATACAAAATAAAAAGTGCAGCAGTGTACCTCTTGTCGATCACCGCTCAACATCTCGAAAGCACGCTTTATATCAAAATCAATAGATTCAGCGCCTTTCGATCCAGGCAAATTAGCCAGTTTGACCAATGTACGCGCTGCAATCTCCATTACAGTGGTGTCATTTGAAGGCAACAGCGTACGCAAATGATTGTAATAAGGTGAAATACGCTTCATTGTATTTACTACATCGCCACTGATTAAACATTCTGTAGTTGAAGTATAAAACATGGTTATAGAAAAACAAATATATATCCATATATATATATAAATTACTACGCACTTATGGCCAGTACTGCGCCTTTTTTGTCATTTATATCGGCAGAATTCACCATGCTGAAAATTTGATGGTTGAAATCATCGAAGAAGGCTACAAGATCCTCCTGGGACATTTCACGCAGTTCCGTTTTTACGTACATGAACAAATCTTGTGCTGCTTTGTTTTGCACATTGCGATTACGCGACTTGAGACCAGCAACAAATTGCTGCACAAGCGCTGCAGTCGACATTTTTACAAACTTTACTTATTACTACCAGTCGTTAGAGCAAATATCACTTTTATTCAAGCAACTATTAACTTTTGCGGCAAAGTATTTCGTGGTTTAACCAACTAGTGCTGCATCTTATAGCAGATGTGGTGTCTCATGGAGTTCCTCATACATACATGCTATTTGAGGTTAAGTAGAAGAACGTATATTGAAATTTACTACTACTCAGTTTATTTCATTATATATATTACGAAAAGTTTTAGTTAAGTTGTAGCGGTTTGTTTACAATTGTTTTTTTACTAAAAAATCGTTTTACTATATAATTATATTACTATTATTGTATTTATATTAGGTTTTTCACAATATTTTCACAGTACAACTGAATTCTACACAGTTTTATCTGTCTGGCTCACTTGTCAACTGAAATGTCTATAAATTCGCCGTACTAGTGCGTAAAAACAAAAATCATGGCGAAATGGCGCATAAAATAAGCGAATTCGATGTAAACAAAACTTTGTTCACCCATTTCGGCGAGACGCGAATTCAATGAGAATGGCAGAAATTGTAAAAAACAATGTGTATTTTCATTCATGAATGAAGTGTATGATGAATGGGAGATGAGAGAAACGAAATAATACAGCATGTTCTAAAAGATTACGTATATAGAATGGATATATCTACATATGTAAGTACTATAATGCGGTAATTAAAATATTTATTCCAACAAGGTAAATAAATTTTGCCATGCAGTTTGTATAAGCCAGAAGCAAACATCGAAGACTCTGTAAAATATATATTATATAAATGATCAACACGACGACATGATTCGATGGCGCTATGTCCGTCTATCTGTATATTTCAGAGCTAGTGTTTAAGCTATGTAGCTGATATTTTACACACGACTTTTTCTTTACAAGAAGCAGCGTATTGGTTGGAATGACATATAGTAGCTGTCATACAAACTGAACTGAATGAATATCTACTTTTGCCAAGATATCTTTATAAAATTTGGCTCAAAGCAGCTGATAGTTCAGATTACTATATATCACCAACAAATGGACCGATTAATAAATTTTGAATATTTTTTATTTATTTGTGAAGGATTTTTTTTTAGCTTGTTATAGTGAACTATAAACTAATCTATAAACAACATCATAAATACATACTTAACCGCCCTCAAATATCTCTAATCTGTAATAATAAATTCTATCCCTTTATTGAGTTTTATTAGCCAAATGAATCGATCTATGTATTAACCAAATTTTTCGTTAAGCATCAAAACAAAAATACAAAAACAAAAACACCACGCAAGAGCAAATTTAAAAGAGAACATATTGGTGCAAAGAGCACACAAACAGATTGCCGCCGGCTAGACTTGGAAAATTTTGCAAATAGTATACAAATTCAATTGTGCGGCAACTTTCCAATCACAAGGGTGGTTTCGTCATAATCAGCAAAGCGAGAGAGTGAACAATTTGTTGAAGTTAGATGAAAATTTATTAACCAAAAAATAATTCCATCACTAAAGGTGTATTAATTAATAAAACGCGTTTAATCTTATATATGAACTGGAGTATTTAATATATTTACGCATGCATATGTATATGTGTGTATGTGCATATATTGGCAAATGAAAGTCGAACAAAGGTTGAATGAGTGTAGTGGGCTAGCCGTGTGGCTAAGTGTTTTCAAATTGTATTACTAATACATACACAGTATATAGTATACTTAAATGAAATCTTAGATACTTATTTGGTTGTAAAATTCACCGCTCAGTGCATGCTAATTGAATTTACATAAAAAATTTTATTATTAAGCCAAATTTTCAGTGGTGATTTGAAAGTATTTGCTGTTGGAGAAATTAAAATATTATTAATTTGAGAATGCGTTCTGGCTATATGCTCATGGAGTTAATTAAATTATGCGTTCAACATGGAAAAGAGTTACATAAATTAAATTATGCTCTTATGCATTCATTTATTTCTATTATAAACTCGGGCAAATAGTTTTTAAAATATTTTGTATTTTGTATATATTTTGTATATAAAAATTGTTATCTTCAGCTGCGTCAAAGCTGTAGAATCCTTCACAGATACCTTTCTTATAGCATAGAAGGGTAGAAAAAGATCTTTGAGTGAACCGGCCTAAATGATTTCTTCGGTATCTATAATAAATTTCGTGAAGATATTTTGTCAAATAAAAAGATTTTTTTTTACTTGGAACAATTAGTTTGTATGGTAGCTATGTATGTGCTACGGTGAACCGATATCAACAGTTCCAACAAATAAGCAGTTTTAATTTAAAAAGCATATGGCCATTAATTTTATTTAAACTACCTTAAATTTTATTTTTATTTTAAAAATTTTAATGTTTTTCTATTTAACATTATTATTAAAAAATACTAATATTTATGAAAATTTGATTTTATTTAAGTCCTTATTTTGTTGTATTTTTCTATATGTATATGTACCTTGCACTAATATTTTCCCACTTTTATTTTCTTTGTGAGTAAAATTTTTACTCATGTAGAAAAAATTTTAGCAACAAAGCTTTTAGCATAAATATGTTTCCGCTCCTTGAAAACCGCAACAGCGTGTATTTGTATCTAACTGCACTGCTGATATTTGGTATAGTAAATTTTATTTTTTTTACCATTATTATCAATTAGATACTGTATATCGCTAATAAAATAAACGTGCATATTTATACAACAACAAAACGTAAAATTGTAAAAGTGTTTGCTAAGACATTATTGCTATTCTGTTTTGTAAACTTTCTGTGCGCAAAGCTTGCTAGCTTGCTATATATACATGCATACATACGTGTAGCTATGAATGTTCTTACATTGTGTATATATGTACATTTGTATTAGGACGGGTCGACAGAAAACTTGGTACTCTGTAAATAATAATAATGAAAAATTCTTAGGCAACAAGTTGTAGCGGTTAATTGTAATGGGAAGGCCCCCCACCTGGATAGAAAAATCTCTTTCAAAAATATTTTTTTCATAAATTTTGTAAGAAATTGAATGCTCTTCAAATATGGTATATCAACAGTAAAGTTCCTAAAAATCTATTAGATTTGCATTTTGAAATAATAATATTCGTCATAAAAAAATTTACCTTCAAAGAATCAAATTTCTATCCTTAATATTTTTTCGACCATTGTGACGCCATTTCCGGTGACCTCTCGAAAAAACTTTACTCATCTAAAGTGATAAATTACGTGTTTGTTTACTTAAAACCCTAACTTAGAACGTGGATGAAGGAAAAAAACTGAAAATTGAATTTTTGCCAAAAATTTTTACAAAAAAAAAAAAAATCTCAACGAAAATTTCGCGACATTATTTTTCAAACAATTCGAAAGAAAACTATTCGTCCAAGTCTTTAAGAATTGTATCTCAAAGACATGTGGTAAATTTTCTGAAGATCGATTTCTTGAAGATCCGACCTCAAAACACAATTTCGAGAAAAACGCGTTCTCAAGGCTGTATCTCCGAAACTAATACTCGGATCAGCTTGAAAATTAGAAAAATATTCTAGAGGTGTTGTAAAATATAATAGGACACTAATAAATCGATATTTTGAAATCCGTAAACCCATGAAACCCATTAAGAGTTCATGCTTTGAGAGACTGTCTTAGAACAGCATATATCAAAAAAAGTTTAAATTTTTACCCACCCTAGTATGTACAAATATAGTTATATGTCGTTATAACTGCAAAAATTTACATTTAGTTTTAACTCACTAACTTTGTAGAACATTTTTTTTCCTAATCTCATATATCATAGTTCTTCTACATTTTATTTGCTTACAATATCTTTATACATACATACATACGTACTCATATTTTAGATAAGTAAAGAAACACTTACTCATTTGTATTATCTTTTTCAATTTTGTTTGCACGTTTCTATAATGTGATCTCTATAGATAGAGTCATTTTTCATTTTACAACATTTTGTTATTGTTAGATACTATATGTATGTACATATTCTCTGCTGTAATCTCCAACTAGTTCTAATTACTTAAAAATTCGCTAGTATCAAATCAAATAGATCCTATTCAAAGTGTAGTAAAATAGCTCCTCCGGCCATCATCAGCGAAATATTTAAGGTTAGTCGAAAAAGTCTTTTCGTATCGTTTGATGAAGTTTGATTAGGAATACGAAAATACTACCATATTATATAATTTTTTATTGATTAATATTTATATTTTTTATTGTTTATATATTTTCATCACTCTCACTCTCTTATTATTTAATGTTTTTACGACAATCGTATCTTAACATTAGGTACGAAATATTTTCAATAACTCTCAATTGGTACAAATTAAAAATATTTGTATTAATCCTTGAGCACTACCTTTGTCACACCGCTTAGCATTTTCCTGCAGTGCATCTACTCCTATACTACCTATTCAATACATTTGTAAAATGCAAACAGCTGTTCGCTATTTTGTTTGGGCATGACCGGCGAAGAGCATGACAGCTGGAAAACTCACCCCTTTGTTTCGCATACTTCCTTACTATGATCGCTGCCAGGTGACGGCCGGCAATTATTGTGCTTAGGTAAGCAACTGAGGCAAATGTGTACATATATATGGCATTTCAAATATATTTAGTCGTATGATTGCGCTTTATGTGTGTGCTTTGCAACATTAAATGTGAAACGAATGCAATTAAGATGTTTTCAAGTGACGCTGTTTAATAACAATAGTTGTAAAATTAACAAGACGAAGGCGAAGAGAAAATCCAGGTTCGTGAGCAACCGATTCCCATATATAATATGTAAATTTGTTGCATATTCGGTTTTGAAAGAGTATTGCTCATATTTTGCAATTATTAGGTAGTCAACAATTTAAAACAATTCGTTCTTTGTAAATATTTTTATCTGCGTTTGAAGATAATTACTTACGACGGGGTCTTCTATCGGGTGATTTTTTAAGAGCTTGATAACTTTTTTAAAAAAAAAAACGCATAAAATTTGCAAAATMTCATCGGTTCTTTATTTGAAACGTTAGATTGGTTCATGACATTTACTTTTTGAAGATAATTTCATTTAAATGTTGACCGCGGCTGCGTCTTAGGTGGTCCAT